AAAGTACGCGTTAACGAACAGCTATCAGAAAAAAATGAAATTAGATGTGGAGTGAGACAGGAATGTGTATTGTCGCCAATTCTTTTTAATTCCTGCTACGAAGAAATCCTGAAAAACACTCTTGAGGGTAAAACAACTAAAATAAAGGTAAATGGACTTCTCATTGACAACATTAAATATGCGGACGACATTGTGATCTTAGGCGAAAACATTGAAGATCTTCAGAGACTGGTGACTAGAATAGCAGAGTATGCAAAAGAGTATGGTCTAACAATGAATGTGAAGAAGACGAAATTTATGAAAATATCGAAAACTCAAAGAAATATTCTAATAAACGGAACCAAAGTAGACAAATATGCATATCTGGGAACAATGATTACCTCCACAAACGATTAAATTCAGGAGATCAAAATAAAAATAGAAAAGGCTAGAGCAAATTTCAACAAAATGAGAAGAGTGTAATGTACCAGAGATTTAAAACTGGAACTAAGAGTTAGCTTGGCGAGGTGCTATGGAATGGAATCTTGAATGCGACATCAATGAAAACACTGGAATCATTCGAGCTGTGGGTGTACAGAAAGAAATGAAAATTTTAAATACAATTTAAACAAGAAAATTAGAATGTCTCGAAAATAATACACGTGGAGAGAAGTACACCTTGCTCTAACTGATTATACAGGAAAAGATCCAAGGAAAGAGAAGCATAGGAAGGCGTAGAATATCATGGCTGCGCAACCTGAGAGAGTGGTTCGGATGTACATCAAATGAACGTTTCAGAGCAGCCGTCTCAAAAGTCCGAATAGCTATGATAATTGCCGACCTTCGGCACGGAGAAGGCACTTGAAGAAGATCTTGACATCCTGAAAAATGAATTTGTCACAATTAACTTTAGAGGTAGATTTGCGTATTATATATTGTGGTTTAAAGACAATTTGGAATAAGTGACAATCATATTTAACGTTAGGAGAGATCAAATGGTAAAATTTAATAAAAAATATTAGGAATTGATCATCGAATAATTTTTCATATTGCAACAAAGCTAGCATGCCATAAATTTGTTTAACGGTTAATTTATAAAAATATGTTCATACCTTGAAGAGTAAAAGCTATAAGCAACATTAAAGATTCAAAAATAAATTAAAATAAATATGATATGTATTTGTTGTTAAATATAAAGCAACTTTTAAAATGACACAGTTTAATAATTCTTATTTACAAGCAATCTACGTTCCTGTAGTTGGCTGTATACCATATATTAAAAAAATTATTAAAAACCACAATGTAACCACTAATTAAAAAGAACATAGGTTTAAAATTTTGACTAAGGTTAATTCAAAGTGTGGTTAATACTTACTAGGAGTACATGAATGTAGCCACTAAATATATGGGTAAAAACCCGTTAACAAATAATTGATTACATTTAGTTTACAAAATTTCTTATAATGATTTAAGATGTTAAAGTTACCGTTGGATTAGGTAACATGGCGACATATGACTCCACGTTGAAGTTGCTAGTCCTGAGACGGTGTGTCTACGAAGACTGAATATGAGCAACTGAATGGCAATGACATTTAATAACAATGTTGTTAAGTTATGACGGGAGTTGTAACAGAGCAGTCAATATAACTGTATGTTTCTACTTAAGACAAAAGCCAACGTTATTTAAAATTGTGAAAATAAAATAGATTAATATAACAGAATCAACCATTAATGTTGTTGTTTTAAATTTATGTATATAAGATGAGATGTGGAAAGAAAAAATATGTGGTTGTAGGTAGGCAACCAACTATACATGTGTGCAGTAATGTAGTGAAAAAAGGTTTTAGTATAAGGCCCTTTATGTTTCTCAAACATTTGGTACCCAAAAAAGAGAAACTAGACACATGTGGGAGGTTGAGTTCTAGAAATTTTGTTTTTAATGGTTAGATATGAATGTATTTATTTAAAAATGCAAATGTTCTTGAATGAATAAAATAAAACTTTTGTAGTATAATGTTCACATGATATTTACCTTATAACTCAATTGTAAGTTAAATAAGTTAAATATCATGTGAACATTATACTACAATTTATTATTTACTTATTAATTTATTTATTTAATATTTTAATTTATTTAAAATTATTTACCTAGCGACTGCTCTTAATTTTTTAAATTCTATAGAATTTTCTGAGTGTTGTGTCGTTTAAATTTATTAAAAGCTTGTTTCGATTATGTTAATGCTTCTTTGCAGTCATGATTCCACCAAGGTACCGACTGACGTTTGTGATCGTACTTAATTATTCCAACGTACTTTTTTGCTGATTCTGTGATTACGATTGTCAGAGAGTATATTGTTTTGTCTATATCTACATTGTCATTTAAGTTTTGCAGGTTTTTGCGCCTTTTAAATTCCATTTTAGTTGTTGCGGTGTAGTTGATTAGGGTAGTGATCACTATCATATAGATCTGGAAACACATCTCACGCAAGAGTACATATGTGTAATTGATGTTTCGCAAATACATAGATCTATACTAGAGCCTTCACCTTATATCAAAGCGCGTATGTTGTCCGTCGTTACGAATATTTAGGTTGACTTCAAACCTGTGACGACAGAACTACTATATTTACATCCGTAAAACTTACTATATTTTACATACGTAAAAATTATCCAAAGGTTATGAATCAAAATGTGTTCCTTGCAAAGCTTGCAATACCTTTATAACACTTTAACGTTGTAATATCTTGGACCAAGGTTAGTATATGTTGATTTATATCGGGAGAGGTCAGTTACAAATCGTTTTAGTGTTCGCAATAGAATTATTGTTCGTATTCCATAAATTAGTTTTGTTCTAATTTAATTTTTTTATTGACACAGATTTAAAGATCATTTTGACGAAAGCAAAACATAAAGCGTTTGCTTTTTATTAGCACATTTTGATTTTAATCCCATATTTTCACTATCCATCATGCTTCTATTAAACCAGCATTTATTATATTGCTGCGTTAATACCACTAATCTACGAATCAATCAAGCTCGATTTCCCCGCATTACGGATATTACATTCAATTATACGTTCACAAATCCCACAGCCCTTTGATTGGCCCTTTTAACATCAATCAAACTCGAATGAAATGAAATAATATCCGGCATAACATTTTTTACCATTTATTAATTTTTTAATGACTGAAAACACAGAGGTATCTGATAACTACGAAAATGGGTTACGTCATTTATGTTTACCATCAAATTTGAGAAGAAGTTATAATCTTTATACTAAATTTGTCTACATATAAACATTTTTGTATATTCCTTTAATAAAATATGCTAAAATACTTTGCTAGCAGTGATGACACTTTACTGAAGTAAAGACAGTTAAAATATTTATTATTGGCTCTATCTTTTTAATTATCTTTTTGTTAACTATAATTATTTTCTGAATCTTATCCTACTTTAGCATTTACACATAATTCAGTATAAATTACGTTATTTGCAGCACATTTCTTATTTTTTTATTGGTATTCAAGGCTGCTAGTTAATATCGTGGACAGTCTCGACAAGAAATTTCGTAAAATCCACAAGAAATATACGTTCCTGTAGTTGGCTGTATACCATATATTAAAAAAATTATTAAAATCCTTTGTAAAAGGTATATTTTTAAAAACCCAATCGGGCTACGTGAGACAAAACGTTTTCGGAATCCATATTCCATCATCAGTGTCTACGTATACATGAATGTAGCCATTAAATATGTGGGTAAAAACCCGTTAAAAATTATTTAGTTAAATTTGGTTTACATTATTTCTTATAAAATATTAAGATCTTAAAGTTACCGTTAGATTTGGTAACATTATGACATATGACTCCACGGAAAGTTGCTAGTCCTGAGATGGTTTGTCTACGAGGACTTTATGAAAGCAACAGCGTTAAGTGGCTACATTCATGTATACATAGACACTGATGATGGAATATGGATTCCGAAAACGTTTTGTCTAACATAGCCAGATTGGGTTTTTAAATATATACCCTTTACAAAGGATTTTAATAATAAATTTCGTAAACTTCCTGTGGTTATAGAAAAGACAGCTAACATGCTTGTTGGTTGGTGAGAGTTAAACAGTTTGAATGTTTTGCCATAAAAAAAGTGTGGCTGACTAAGCCTTGCATTGTGTTGTGAGCTTTAATACTCGCTTGATAATAAATGTACTTTTCTCTCTTTTGGGATATGCTTTCCTTTAGTTTCAGATGAAATACACGATTTTTTGTAGTGCTCTGAGTGCCAACTTTTAAAATCTAGTGTATCTAATGCGTTCACTTTCATTACAGTATATTTATTAGTTTTTAAACTTTTATTATAAGCTCAGTAACTTGGTGTAATGTAAAAATATTGTCATGCTGACGCAAAACTTTGGCAATCGTGCCAAAGTCCCTGTCACAGGGAAGAAATCTGTGGCCCCTTATAGGAAAAAACCGTTCAAATTTGTTAAATCTGCCACTATCTGTGAAATACAGGCAAAATCTAGAAAGGGCTTGATTCTTATTTTGCCCGCCACAGTTGTCTGCAAATGAACGAAGCGTGGTTTTAGTTGTTGAATGTTTGTTAAGAAGCTGTTCAAAAAACTACAAACTTCATTGGGACCTTTATGGCCTAAGCCTTCGTGATACAGGTAAATGTTACTTTTACCAGTCTTCAAATTGTAGACACAAAAGACATGAACAAAAACCTGTCTTAATTAATACCGTTGCTGTACATACTGGTATTTTAGGTAGGCTAATAGTTTTCATGTAATCAAATGCTATTGATAACCCGTTCCCTTCCTGTTTCTCTTCTTCAGAATGCTCATATTTAAGAGCCTTGTAAAACTTTTGGATCCGTCTCTTATGAACAAGTAACTCATCTACTGCGATTCTTTTTGCAACCTTATTAAGATTTAAGATAAGATTTAATTTTCAAATTAAGTTCCTCGCATTTACAACAGGTGTCTACCTAAAGACTCCCAAAACGATAGCTACAATTGTTTTTATTTAAAGTGTCTCCAATATACTGTTTGGTTTACTTTACCATCTGAGTACGGTTCACAGAACAAAGTCCACATTTTTTTGAAGTTCAAATCTGCACTAAGGTAGCAAATCTTTTTACCCGAGTAGTGTGACTCCTTAAGTGGAAAGGACTTTATGTAGTTACTCAAAATATCACGGACGTTTTGATGAAGAGACCGACTTATACTTTTACCTCTTTTATCTTCTGGCGTCTGCCCTACTATTTTCAACTCTTTTACTCTACGAAGCCTTTTGTCAATGACATTGAGAACTGACATTAGTGCTTTTAAATATACTTGTATTCTTTCTATACCTGATATAACATAAATAGGTGAAAGTATGTGACCTTTAAGTAAATGTCTTGTTCATTCTTGCTATTTATACTGTAAAACTTGGTTAATATGTCTACACAGTGGTCTTCTCCAAGTTTCTCTAGACATCGTCTCTGGCAACTGAAATGAAAACATTTAAATTGGCCAAATAATATGTGACAATAAATGAGCAGCACGTTCCAAAAGCTAAATTAGGTTAAGTTAATTACTATTTAACTGGGAATAAGCCACAATTAAAGATAAAAATACGTTTATTGACGTTTCAATTTCCACTTCGGAAATCGTTCTCAAAATACAAACAGTAAATTGTTTATCTCAATTTATTGTTTGTATTTTGATGGTGGTTAAGGTTAGATAC